TTATGTGTCATCGCAAAAGAGTTTTGTATCAAACAGCAACTGTCAAACAATCAGTGGAGGCAAATCTCAATTTTCCAAAACCCAATGGATATGGATGGCGAGAAATTGGCAATCAACTTAAGGTTAAATTGATGCACATTAGACCTGCTCCTGAAGATGTTTTGCAGATAATTCCTATTTGTGTAAAAAGTCAAAGTGTGAAACAAGGGTTGATTGCATGGATTGACTTGTACGCAACTGTTCCACTTGTGAAAACACAAATGATTGAGACGACACCTAGACAAAATATTATTCAACTGATACGAATTTTCCTTTTTAAAAATCTGTTCACTAAATTTTTTCGCGAAATTTGAAAAAATTATTAGCGCGACGTCATCAGTACCAAACAAGGGCCCGAATTTGATCTTTTAAGCACTATTAGAATTGCTCGTAAGTTTTTCTAAAGGTTTTATTATTTACTATAAGGTTTTCTTAAGAGATTATCTAACGTTTGATGTAAATATATATTTATTAGTTTAATAATAAAAAAGTAGACCAGCGTGACGTCATCAGTACCAAATAATGCCCCAAATTTGACTCTTTAAGCACTTTCAGAAAGACACGTAAGTTTTTTTCGAGATTTTATTATTTATTATAAGGTTTTCTCAAGAACTTATCTAACTTTTGACGAAAATATTTATTTTTTAGTTTGATTTTTAAAAAAAAAAGGTCAAAATGACGTCATCAGTACCAAATAAGGGCCCAAATGTGACCCTTTGAGCGCTTTTAGATAGGCACGTAAAGTTTTTCTTATTCAAGATATCAATGTTAAACTATTTAAGTAGTTTTTGTAATGTCCACTTTAATATACCTCAGTGGGTCAAAAATTAATTAGTTTTCTAGCGAACACCTTTAAAGCAAAAAATTTTATAATTTTTTTTGTTAGAAACAGTTTAATATATTGAAAACACAATGTGCGAAAAAAATAAAATTTGTTTTGAAAAAACTTCAAACTTAATTACTTTATCAGACATATCATTTAAAAAATTTTATTAGACATTATTTTTATACTTTATCAGACATTTAAATTTTTTTTTCTTCCATTTATGAAAAATTCTTTAATCACCCAATTAAGTTAACAACATAGATTTTGTTTAAGTTTCTATTTTCCGTAGATTATTCTGTTGTTGACTCTTGCAATAGTTCAATGACACCAGACGGTATTTTTTTTTTGTTCTGTATCTTTTTTCTAAATCTGCAAATTAAATGATCATATGAATATAAAAGACGATGAAAACTGCTTAAATTGTTTTTTTCTGATTCTTGTAAAATTTTAACGAAAGATCCTAAGAACCTTATTGGTAGCATCTTGAGCCACTTTAGAAAACATACCTAATGAAATAGTAAATAATTTAAAAACTTTATAGCCATGAAGCAAAATCTTGTGAAGTGCTTGGCTGATAGGATACCAAGGGTATAGATCTACATAATTTTTTTTCGAAATTTAGAACATTCTGTTAGTAAACTACAAAATTGTTTCTCAACAGAATGTTCTAAATTTTTTATGAGTTAATTGTCATAACTACATGACATTGTGGCCAGAATAAGATGAAGTTTTTTTATAAGATCTACATTGGTGTTTACTTCATTAGCTAAGGCATTATATTGCTGAAAATAATTTCTAGCTGTGTTACCATTGTTTGATGAAAGAAAGTTTGACAGGCGTTCCCTTAACGATGCATTCCCATTGGGAGCATAAATCTCAAGCTGATTGGGTCAATATATTTAGTTTGATAGCTGGTAGTAGAAGAGAGTGATAGTTGTCGTGGAGGAACTACGTATGTATATAGATATATTTCACCTGATGATTGTAACAGCATGAAACTTAAAATTATGAAAATCACGTAGTTTTATTTTCTAATATATATATATATATATATATATATATATATATATATATATATATATATATATATATATATATATATATATATATATATATGTATATATATATATATATATATATATATATATATATATATATATATATATATATATATATATATATATATATATATATATATATATATATATATATATAATACAGCTTTATTGTTATAAAAATAAGGCTGTTTGTTATATTTGTTTATTTTGTTAAGGTATCACTTCATTAACTAGTTTTTAGATAATAAAGTTACAACTCTTTTTACGTTTAACTAATACCTAGCCTAATTTTATAAACTATAATTAAATGATTGCTTTTTAAAATCACGGGTAAACAAAATCAATATAAAAAACAACTTTAACGACTTATACTTATAATTGTTAAATAAAAGGTGAATTTTTTCTGTAATATATGTCGATGAGCATTACTCAAGATGTGGAGAATGATGATAAAGTGAGTATGGAAGTAATAGAAAAGAAAGTAAAAGATAGAGAGCTGTTAATTGATCTATCTTTAAAAAAATTTTTAGTATAGAAAAATTTTAAGATTAGGTCCAAAGATTCACGTACAGTGAATTGTATTCACTGTTATGCTACATTTGGTGACGAATAACAAGCAATTGTTTTTGTAGGTATAAATTGTCAATTTATTATTAATCGATCATATTAATATAATACTAGCAGTAAGCAACCCGTAATACGGGTTGTTAGTAAATAAAATTTAAATAAAACCGCGTATAGAAAAGCCTTTTTAATAGAAACTACTATAAAATAGAAAAGCCTAGAAAATGACGTCGATTATTAACTACTATTATTCAATTAGCGTATTAATATTATCAGATTTAATTGTTTTTTTTTTTTTTTTTTTTTTTTTGTTATTTAGGTGCCCCAAGAAGACCTAACAGTCTCGTCTCAGAGCACCGCGGATGTGCATTTAACCAGGAAGTTCACGCCTCTTTCCTTACCGTGACGCGAAAATATGTCCAGAGCTCGTTTCGAACCTGGATCTCCTTCTTCTAAAGCAAGCGCTCTAACCACTGCGCCACGGCCGTACAATATATGTTTGACTTATTCTGTGGTCGAACATCTCAAATTAAGAATGTGTTTTGCAACAATTCAAGATGGTCATGAAAGGATAAAAACAAATAAGATTGGGAAATATTGAAGCCTAATAAAGATATACTAAATCTTTTAAGCTAGGTCAAAGGTTTTTGGAAGGTCAATAGTATGTTAACACAATACCGTATTATTATTTTATTATTTATTATAATATATGTTTTATTATATTATATATATTTTATTATATTATATATATTTTATTATAATATATTTATTAGACAAAGTTTTGTGATTAAAGAAAGAGAGCTGAAGAATTCTCTCAACAAAGAATATATTATGTATTTAAGCAACATCAGCTCCAGTTAAACGCTTTTTCTCCACAACAGGTATTATTATTGCAAATGATCATACAAGATTATTACGTAAAATAGCTGAAGATTTAATTTTTCTAACAAAGCATGACAGAAAATATGTAACAAAGTATTTAAACTAATGTATAATTATAAGCACTTTTATATTCTATACTTTTATAGTTTCATATTCGTATTTATTAATAATAAACATAGAATATGGTACTCCATCCAGTGGCGTAGCAAGGGTGGTAAGCGCTCGGGGTCAAACTGACTAAAAAGGCCCTTCTTAAAACTTTTATAACAATTACATCTTTTTATATTAAAAAAAATCTTCTTTTTTTCTTTTGTATTTCTATTTAGCGCTCTTTAAACCGTTTGCACCCGGGGGCCAAAACCTCGTCGGGCACCCCTTTGCTACGCTTCTGGTTGCATATATAATAAGGTATGACTTGTAATCATTAAACCAATTATATATATTGAGAGATTGTAAAATTAGAAAATCTTTTTTTACTGTCAAAAGTTTCTGTTATAGATTAATTAATGAATCAGCTTAAGTTTCAAGCTAAAGCTGATCACTAAAAACCAATCAGCTACAATCCCTGCTATAAAGGTAAAGACAGTTTTATTGAGCTAACAGTTTTATTGAGCTAAGTTAATATGTTTTTTTAAATTTGTTATTTTAGAGCTCTATATTTTAATTTTGTTTTTTTTTACAGCTCAAATTGTGATACAAGACGTTGTATCACGTAAGAGATGCTCAAAGAAAAGTTTTTAACGACAACGGAAGAACTTTTGATTTGTGCGAAACCCTAAAGACAATTTACAATAATGACGATACATGAGTAAAGGTTGAAAAGTTACTCATTTTTATTTTCCTAAACAGTTTTAATGCTTTTTGTATTTGAAATAAAATAATGAAATTTAAGAGTAGTTTTTAGAAACTCCAAGAAATTCTTAAATGAGATAACAACATACCGCAACTCAGGAGCTCACACGGGTTACCCAGCGGGTTAAACCTCATGCTTCCCAGATAAAAATTGCGGTTAAAACATGGTGGGATCCTGGAGGGTTTCCCATATGGTTCTTAATAGCAAACCCATATTGATTCCATACGGATTTTTTTACAGGGGATATAGTTAGGACCTATATGGGATACTGGCAAACTTATGTGGGCTCCAGAAGGAAACCGTGATAATGCTACCTTAAGTTAACGCTACCTTAAGATAATGCTACCTTGAGCTCACTTACCAAAATTTAGCGCTAATTTTTATGTTTGGTATTGTAATATGAGAAGTTAGGTTTTGAAATAGCAAGGCAAGAATTTTATTAAAGTGCTTTAATACTTGTTTAATAAATTTAAATATAATAAATAAGAGTTATGTAAAAACTTTATTCTTTAGAAATTTATGACTTTATCTACAATCTTTCATTTTATTAAGTGTTTGGACAGCGTGGATGGATGGTTTAACGTCCCAGTCGGCATCGGACATTTTTTACATGTTTTAGGATGTCCGATGCTCTCAGGATTTTATCAATACCTTTAAACGTTAAAAGTAAGGTTTATGGATAAGTTATTTATATGTTTTATAATACGATATTTGACAAAATTAATTAACCCAACCACTAAAAAAAGCTTATGATGTTAAAATAAATATAAAAAACATATATTGTTTAACTAAATTTTACCATTTATTATATATTTTACCATAAAACACATGTCGCTACAATATATTTATTAATACCACTTTACATAAGACAGATATTCTGGGTTGAACGCATATATGTTATTTAATCTAATAAGCCCTTGAGAAGTTATTTCATAAACTTTTCTTTGTCCATCTTTGCAGACAAAATAAAAGCTGCCATTTTGTTCGCATTTTGAATACCATCCAGATGAACACCAGCCAGGAACGTTTATTTCTAAAAAACAATGTAATAAACTAAAAAATACAAATATTAAAATTTTTTAAATTATTTAGTACATGAGAAACCTATCAATAAATAATAACATGATAACAAAGGATAAGTTTAGTTTTTTTTTTCTTTTTTTAATTTTCAAGTTTAGAATACTTTTTAATGTAAGTAATTGTAAATGCTATAATTTTTTAGACTATAATTTTTATTATTTTTGATTGATTTTTTCTATATATGTAAATGCCATTAACGGGGTAGATGATAAAAATTTGGTCTTCTACCTTCTCAGGTTATATCTTAATACAAAAAAATACTGTAAATAATTATTATGAAGATGACTATATCTGCATCATAAGCTTATTTTTCTTTCAAATTTTTTATTTTCTACCTTTAATGTTTTAGTTTTTTCCCAGATAATATTTTCTTTGCAAAGGTTTTGTGTGCTGTAAACCAGGTTTTCCATACCGCTAAGTTGCGGTAAATGCTTATCCTAAAATAATAGCAATGACAAGGCTGCGTAATTTATATAAAAGAGTTGGTATTTGTAAGCAATTTATTAGCAGTCAGAAGGATATAAAATAATTAAGAATTAAGCAAGAGCATTGATTTTATTACCTAGAGAAACCTTTACAAAAATTACCCAGAGACATCTCTGATAATTACCAAGAATCACCTTAATTCTCCGCATGATATGACTACATACGATTGTTTACACAAGTGTTAAGTATTACAAGTAAGGTTCTACATGACAAATTTTAAAAGTTATGATCATGGTAAAACACACATAGTACCACGGTCACCTTAATTGCATGTTGTATTTTTGTTTTTTTATTGTCTAAAACATGTTTACTGTAAAACATTGAAGCGTTACTTCGAAGCTAAGAAGCATTTCTACAATACGGTATATTTTTTATTACGTAAATTTATCTTTAGTCTCAAACTTGATCGTAATTCTTGCTTTAATTTAAAAGGATAATCTTTTACCTTGAGTTAATTTAAAAGATAATCTTTTACCTTGAGTTAATTTAAAAGATCTATTACATAATGTGTTTACATTCGAATGATTTTGATAAAGTTTGGAGTTAAGCAAAATGTTTTTGATGTTTAATACGGATAATTTTAACACAAAATGGTACCTGTAATATTCGTTTTTATATTTTTGTAATTAAAATATCATCTTTAATGCTATTATTGTTAAATATTTTACAAAATAGATGAAATGTTCTTCTTTCCACATAAGCTATTTTATTCTTTTCACATAAATTATGTTCTTCTTTCCACATAAACTAAACTCTTCTTTCCACATAAATTATGTACTTCTTTCCACATAAACTAAATTCTTCTTTCCACATAAATTATGTTCTTCTTTACAAATAAATTATATTCTTCATTAAACATAAATTAGGTTCTTACCTTTTTTTTTAATTAATAAAGTTTAATATACAAAGTATGTCTATATGCGACATTGTCTGCAACTTATTTATCTTAATTTAATACATTTTTATAATAAGTATTTTTATATTTCATAGTTAGTACTTCATCAACATAACTTATCCAAAAAAATATATATATTTCTAACAAAATAATTGCTTGCATAGTATAAAACTTTATTTTTATTATTTTTATTTTTTTGTTTTTTATTTTTTTTGTAGTCGTTAAGCTGCTCCCAAAAGTCTAGAGAAGAAGTACAGTCTTACTATAGAAGAGGAGAAATACAGTCTTACCATAGAAGAGGAGAAGTACAGTCTTACTATAGAAGAGGAGCAGTACAGTCTTATCATAGAAGAGTAGAAGTGCAGTCTTACCATAGAAGAGGAGAAGTACAGTCTTACCATAGAAGAGGAGAAGTACAGTCTTAACATAGAAGAGGAGAAGTGCAGTCTTACCATAGAAGAGAAGAAGTACAGTCTTACCATAGAAGAGAAGTACAGTCTTACCATAGAAGAGGAGAAGTGCAGTCTTACCATAGAAGAGGAGAAGTACAGTCTTACCATAGAAGAGGAGAAGTACAGTCTTACCATAGAAGAGAAGAAGTACAGTCTTACCATAGAAGAGGAGAAGTACAGTCTTACCATAGAAGAGAAGAAGTACAGTCTTACCATAGAAGAGGAGAAGTACAGTCTTACCATAGAAGAGGAGAAGGACAGTCTTACCATAGAGAAGAAGAAGTACAGTCGTCCCATAGAAGAGAAGAAGCAAAGTCTTACCATAGATGAGAAGAAGTACAGTATTAACATCGAAGTGAAAAAGTACAGTCTTACCATAGAAGAGGAGAAGTACAGTCTTACCATAGAAGAGAAAAACTACAGTTGTACCATAGAAGAGAAGAAGTACAGTCTTACCATAGAAGAGAAGGAGTACAGTCGTGCTATAGAAGAGAAGAAGTACAGTCTTACCATAAAAGAGAAGGAGTACAGTCGTGCTATAGAAGAGAAGAAGTACAGTCTTACCATAGAAGAGAAGAAGTACAGTCGTACATAGAAGAGTAAAAGTACAGTCTTACCATCGCTGAAGAGCAGGAAATTCATGTCTTCTTCATTATTTCTTCATTCACACATTATTAAGAGACATATAAACGTACTAAGAATGTATAAAGTTAATATTTACCAATATTAACTTTTCACGTATAAATACAAAAACAACTTGGTTCCGATAAACTTGAATGATAAATTTATAAACATTATGTACAAAAAATGTTCTCTTAGAATGACTAATAAAATTCTTTATAATTTTTCAAGAATAAATAATAAGTATATAGAACAGCTATTGTGGGTCTAAACTTTGTAAAATACTTTGTTAAAATAAAAAAAATATATGAAATTTTTCTTAATGTTTGTAATTTTCTTATCTTATATGAAAAATAAATTTTTTAAATGGAACTGCAAATGAACACAAAAAAAACTTTGATTCAAATCAGATGGTTAAAGTCATAATCCTAAAAGTTCATAAAATAAATTGTTTGTTTGAGTTGGAAAAAAATTTAAAACACAATTTTCTGAAAAAAATGGCGGCAAACATGGCGGCTGTGGAAGAGCTTTAGTTTAGCGAACGTTCTCATTTATATCAATTTATATCTTTGTAATCTTTATAATAAATCTACTTTTAAATAATGGCAAACAAATTCTCCTTAAGTCAAGTAAAGGATTTATTAGAAATGCATGAAAATACAATAATAAAAATCTTTAATGATCGTATACAAAAATTAGAAAGCGAACTGATTATTATAAAAGAAGAAAACAAAGAATTAAAACGTGAAATTAATGAAACAAATAAAATTATCAAGTTTGTTAGTGAACAATACGAAACAATAAACGAAACATTAAATAATAACAAAAGAAACGGACACAGTCAACTAAAACAAAAGTATTTAAACGAAGAAAATGAAGCACTAAAAATAAAATTGCTGAGTTAGAAGACCGAAGTAGGAGAAATAACTTGCGATTTGAGGGTATTGAGGAAACCGAAGGCAAAACATGGGAGAAAAGCGAAGAACTGATTAAAAATCTACTAAGAGAAAAACTGGATATTAAAGAAGGTATACAAATTGAAAGAGCGCATCGTGCTGAAAGAAAAGAACACGAAGAAGGTAAACGTAGAAAGCGAACTATTGTTGTCAAGTTTCTCAATTTTAAAGATCTTGAAAACATTCTCGAAAAATACAAAAAAAAGAAAATGTGGAAAGAAAACATGTATATAAACGAAGATTTCAGCGAGCGGACAACTAGTATTCGAAAACAACTTTTCCGTCAAGCTAAAGATCTACGAGCATCAGGTAAATTCGCTAAAGTTGTGTACAATAAAATAACCACTAAGCCGTCTTAAAACAAATTATATCCACGGTTATTTATAATAATTATAATTATTTATAAAAATAATAAAAAATGAATTCGAAAAATAATAATTATTTTGAAAATGCTTTTAAATTTTTTCAAATTAATAATTTTAAATCGGATGACGATTCCGATCCAGACATAAATTACTTTAACGAAATTAATTTGCCTGAATTAGTATGCTCTTATTTTCAACCAAATGAAGTTAGTAACTTTATAGAAGTGGATAATAAAAGTGATTATTTTAATGTCATTCATTTGAATATTAGAAGTTTAAAAAAGAATTTTGAAAATTTTTTAAATTTTATTGACGAAACGAACAATTGTTTTAACATAATTTGTGTAACCGAAACTTGGTGTTCTAAAAAAGATTTTGAATCAAATTCTAATCTCCTTCTCCCAGGTTTTAAAGAAATTTTGTAAGAACGAAACAATAATAGGCGAGGAGGAGGAGTACTTTTTTATTCGAAAGAAAATATTTTCTATAAAGTTAGAAGCGATATGAGTGTTTCAGATACGGATCAAGAGATCTTAACAATTGAACTAATTAACAAAAATTCTAAAAGCATTTTAATCAGCCGTTGCTATAGGCCACCAACTGGTAGAACAGAAAATCTTAGTAAATTTTTGAAATACAATCTAATAGAATAAACTAGTCAAGAAAAAAAAAAAAGTTATATTTTGGGTGACTTCAATTTGGATTGTTTTGAATATAAAGAAAACCAAAACATAAAAACATTTTATAACAATTTATTTGAAATGGGAACCATACCAATAACAGATAGACCGACTAGAATTACAAACCATTCGTCGACTTTAATTGATAATATATTAACCGCAGACTGTTTTAATAAATCTTTAAAAAAAGGAACTATAAAAACTGATGTTTCAGGTCATTTTCCCGTATTTTTTTCTATTAAATCAGAACATCAAATAAAAAACGAGGATAAAATGACAATAAAAAAGCGAACTGTGAACAATTGTAACGTAAAATCATTCAAAGATCAAATTTCACTGCAGGACTGAAATCACATAAACTTTAATGATAACATAAATATTATCTATAACACGTTTTTTAAAACTTTCTTTAAATTCTATGACGCTAATTTTCCAATATGTGAAATAAATCTCAAGGCCAAAGACATATTGTCTCCTTGGATAACTAAGGAACTAAAA